GTAGATTTGGCATAGCAGCACATGCTTGCAATCCCAATACTTTGAAAGGGGGCAAGAAGATCAGAAATTCAAGGTCATCCTTGGTCACATAGCACCCCCCCTCCACCGTAGTAAGACTTTCAAACCAATCAACCAATCACAACTTACTAAATTAATGAAATGCAAACAACTTAGAAGTTTATAAAGTTAAAAGTTATGGCAGCACTCCTACGAACCTCTAGAGCAGAGGTTCTGAACCTGTGGGTCCAGATCCCTTTGGGAGTCTTTCATAGGGGTCACCTAAGTCCACCGGAAAACAGATATTTACCTTATGATTCATAAAGTAGCAAGTTACAGTTATGAAGTAGCAGTGAAAATAATTTTATGGTTGGGTGTTCACCACGACATGAGAAACTGTACTAAAGGGTCGCAGCCTTAGGAAGGTTGAGAACTATTGAGCTAGGCAGTTACCGCTTCAGTTCCATGTGGACTCTATCCCACACCTTTTACGTGCATTTACTAACATGGTGATTATATTAAAGGGGAGGTAACAGAAAAAGTAGGAGAAAAGAAAGGGAGGTTGGGGAGAGAGCTCACTTGGTAAAGCACTGTGTAGCGCAAGCCCGGGGACTTGAGCTTAGCCCTCCGAATCTCCCCCCCCCCCCCCCCGAAAATCCTAAGTGTGAGGTCCTTGTTCACAACAAGAAAGGGGAAGAGACAGCTGGATCCCCGAGGCTCTCTGGCCAGCCTGGAGGAACCCCTGCCTCACCAAGAACAAGGCGGAGTTTCTTTCCGTGTCTTTCCTAGGCACCTAACAAGAAGGCTGAGCAGTGAGGTCAGGCGCTGGCTGCAGCCGACACCAACGTGAGCACTCCTGAGCACATGCTCGCACAAAGCCGCAGGTGCGACTCAGTTTTTAAAATTTTAAAGTCCTGGGGCTGGAGAGAGCTCATCAGTTAGGAACACTGGCTGCCCTTGCAGAGGGCTGGCTTCCTTTCCCAACCACCCGATGGCTCACAACCATCTCTAACTCAGGGTCCAGGGGATCCAGTGTCCTCTTCTGACCTCCATGGCACCAAAACACAAGAGATGCACAGACATACGTGCAGGCAAAACACCCCTATATATAAAATAAAAATTAAAAACAAAATTTTTAATTATAAATTTTAATTTATTGTATGTGTGTGTGCCTGCTTGTCTGCATGTAAATCAAGTGTGTGCTGGTGCCCTCATAGGCCAGGAGAGGGCACCAGCACCCTTGGGGTTTCCTGCCTTAGCCTCCCCAGTAGCTGAGACGACCAGCCTGTGCCACCATAATCATCCTGAAATAAACTCGAGGTCAGACTCCCGACGTCTGAACCAACATTGGTTCCTGAGTCATGCTGAAACTTCTACCCTGAGAAGGACCATGGTGGTCTCAGAGACCAGGCATTCGCAGACATGCTGTCATAATGATCAAAGAGTATCTCGTTTTTATCTTTTTATCTTCTTTTGCACCTTCTTTCTTTTTCTTACATTTATTTATTTATTTATTTATTTATTTATTTATTTATTTATTTATTGGGGGGTGTGAGAACCCTACAGTGCGCATGTGGAGGTCAGAACAACTTGCGAGAGTGGATTCTCTCCTACCACACGGGTCCCAGGGACTAAACTCGGGTCATCAGGCTTGGTGGCAATCGCTATTTACCCGCTGAGCCATCTCACCAGCCCTGAACCTCTTCTTTTAAAATTGTGATATTCTGATTTTGTGACAGGCTGAGCTGTCTACGTTATATTAGTAAATTAGAACGCACGTGGACTCTATGAGCCTCTTGAACTCAATACCCATGCTTACTGTAATGTGCACACCTCCTCAGGGCTCTTAAAACTTTAATCAGTGGTCCGGGCACAGGCTCTCTCCTGCCCTTGGCAACGCTGTTAGGGTTTCTTTTGTTTGTGTCCTGGTCACTGTTCTGTTGCTGTGCAGAGACACCGTGACCACGGCAACTCTTTTAAAAGAAAGTATTGAACTGGGGGTCTGCTTACAGTTGCAGAGCTTTAGTCCATTTTCATCACGGCCGGGAGCATGGCGTGGTGCTGGAGCAGTAGCTGGGGGCTACAGCCTGATTCACAGATGGGAGCAGGGGTAGAAACGGGGGTGAAGAAAACTGATCTTTCCCTTCATCTGGTTTTGTTTTTTGAAACAGCCTCAGCCGCCCAGCCTGCTCTTGACCTTGATATTTAGCTGAGGATAGTCTTGGCCTACTCTATCCCCTCTGCTAGCCATGTGTGTAGCTTTACTTACCTCCCCACATTTCTTTTTTGTACTCCTTAGGTCTCCAAGATTCACCAGCGTGGCTGTAGCTTATTAATTGCCCCTGCTGTGTAATATTCCAGTGTGAATATTTCATAATATTTAGAAAAACCTTTGCCAGGCAGTGGTGTTGCACATTTTTAATCCCAGCACTTGGGAAACAGAGGTAGGTAGATCTGAGTTCAAGGCCAGCCTGGTCGACGGAGTGAGTGAGTTCCAGGACGGCCAGGGCTACATAGAGAAATCCTGTCTCAAAAAACCAAACCAGACCAAACAAAACCTTCTGCTCTCCTGTTGCCAGACATCTGGACTATTGCCACTTTTGTCTTTAAACCACGCTGCTGTGAACATCACGTGGCTGGGTACATCTGCAGGGACTTCTAGGTACCCAGGGTGTTAAACGGAAATTTTTACTATGTTGTTTTCCAAAGGGATTGCATAACATGAAGCTCTTCAAACTTGCTTTCTATACTTAAGTGTCCTGTAAATGTCCCAGCCCCCTCTCCCGGCACACACACTGACCCCCGTGTCCCAGCCCTCCTCTCCCGACATGCACTGACCCCGTGTCCCAGCCCCCCTCTCCCGGAATGCACAGACCCCCGTGTCCCAGCCCCCTCTCCCGACATGCACTGACCCCCGTGTCCCAGCCCCCCTCTCCCGACATGCACTGACCCCGTGTCCCAGCCCCCCTCTCCCGACATGCACTGACCCCGTGTCCCAGCCCCCCTCTCCCGACATGCACTGACCCCGTGTCCCAGCCCCCCTCTCCCGGCACACACACAGCCCCCCTCTCCCGACATGCACTGACCCCGTGTCCCAGCCCCCCTCTCCCGACATGCACTGACCCCGTGTCCCAGCCCCCTCTCCCGACATGCACTGACCCCCGTGTCCCAGCCCCCCTCTCCCGACATGCACTGACCCCCGTGTCCGAGCCCCCTCTCCCGACATGCACTGACCCCCGTGTCCCAGCCCCCCTCTCCCGACATGCACTGACCCCCGTGTCCCAGCCCCCCTCTCCCGGCACACACACTGACCCCCGTGTCCCAGCCCCCCTCTCCCAACATGCACTGACCCCCGTGTCCCAGCCCCCTCTCCCGGCACACACACTGACCCCCGTGTCCCAGCCCCCCTCTCCCGGCACGCACACTGACCCCCGTGTCCCAGCCCCCCTCTCCCGGCACGCACACTGACCCCCGTGTCCCAGCCCCCCTCTCCCGGCACGCACACTGACCCCCGTGTCCCAGCCCCCCTCTCCCGACATGCACTGACCCCCGTGTCCCAGCCCCCCTCTCCCGACATGCACTGACCCCCGTGTCCGAGCCCCCTCTCCCGACATGCACTGACCCCCGTGTCCCAGCCCCCCTCTCCCGACATGTACTGACCCCGTGTCCCAGCCCCCCTCTCCCGACATGCACTGACCCCGTGTCCCAGCCCCCTCTCCCGACATGCACTGACCCCCGTGTCCCAGCCCCCTCTCCCGACATGCACTGACCCCCGTGTCCCAGCCCCCCTCTCCCGGCACGCACACTGACCCCCGTGTCCCAGCCCCCTCTCCCGGCACGCACACTGACCCCCGTGCTTCATCTTACCAGCCTCTTAGAACACTATGAGCAGACTGTGTGTTTATTTACCCAGTCTAACATGCTACTTAGGTTGCTTTTGCGCGTGGGTGTGTACATATGTGCATGTCCGTGTGTGTGGAGGTCAAAGGTGAACTTCCAATGATGTTCTCTCGCTGACCTGGAAGGCTCAGACAGGGTAAGCTAGCCAGAGGGATCTCCCTGTCTTCCTTCACACGCCCAGAGTAATCCCAGCTGGGGTTACAAACACACGGCCTTGGCAGGCAGTGGTGGCACACACCTTTAATCCCAGCACTCGGGAGGCAGAAGCAGGCGGATCTCTGTGAGTTCGAGGCCAGCCTGGTCTACAGATCGAGATCCAGGACAGCCAGGGCTACACAGTAAGATCCCGTCTTGAAAAACCAAAACCAAACCAAACCAACAACAAAAACACATGGGGCATCATGTCTGGCTTACTTGACTATCTCCTCAGCCCTCAAATTGCCTTTTTTAAAATTTATGTGTATGGGTGCTTTGCCTGCATGTCTGTTTACCGCAAATATGTGCAGTGTCCATGGAGGCCAGGAGAGGGCGTCAGATTCCCGAGGTCCTTTGGAGGGTAGCCAGTATTTTTAACTGCTGAGCCATCTCTCCAGTCCCATGTTGCTTCCTTTTAATCGCAGAACATACAATGAATACACGGGGCAGGAGGAAGAGAGTTGAGCCAGGGTCTCCCTATGTCGCCCTGGCCAGCCTGGGACTCACTATGTCTACCAGGCTGGCCTCAAATTTCCAACAATCTTCTCTCCTACCTTCTGAAGTGTTGGGCTCAGGGGCCTGCACCACTAGGCCCAGCAGAAGCTACATTTTGAGACCTTCTTCTCTCCATTTTCCGTCAGTAAGGAAATAAAGCAATGTATCAGGTTGCCCAGGGGTTACTACTGGGTCTCAAGGTGGAGGAACCAGAGTTCGAGCCCAGTGATCCCCACCTCCTTCCTAATCGGAGGTCTTGGTGTCCATACGGGGCGGGGCGGGGCGTGGGTGTGAGAAATGGAGAAACATCCGGACTCGGGATGGCATGGGAGGCTGATGGAGAGCATCCCTCCTCTCTGGCTCCTCCCTGGGGCGGGGCCACCCACAGCCGGAGGCTCCGCCCTCCCTCCTGCCTGGCCCGGGCCCGTGAGCGTCGGCGCTAGGACCCCGCGGGCGGGAGCTGCGGCGGGGCCTGGGTGGCCCGGGCAGCGCGGACCCCGGTTCTCGGCTCCCGGCGCCATGTGAGGGGGTTCGGGGGCCGCGGGGGGCCTGGCGCTCCCCGGCGGAGGTGAGCGGGCGCCGCGCGGGGGCGGGCGGCGGGGCGGGGGCTTGTGCCGGCGCCGCGGGGATGGAGAGCCGCCGGGGCGGGGGACCCCGGGGCGCCCCGAGACCCACTTTCCTTGCTAACCGCACCCCGAGATGTGAAAGCCCGCGGGGTTCGCTGGGCCTGCCGCTTTGGAGACGAGGGGACCCTGCCGCGGCCCCGCACCCCTCTCCTCCGGAGCTGGGGTCAGGGTGCCCGACCCCGGGTTGCAGCAGCCCAAGAGGGGGCGCGGGGCCGAGCCTCCCACGCGGCACTTGGGGGCACCCTGATCCCGGCGCCCGGAGAAGCCAAGCCCCGGGGCGAGCTCAGGGTGCGGCCCTCACCCGCAGCTCGGCCTCCGCACGTCCAGCGGGGCGGGGTGCAGGCTCCGGGGCTGCCGCCTCCCCGGCGGCGTGAGCCGCTCCCCACCAGGCCTGTCCACGCCGGGCGCACGCAGGGACTGGGGGGGACCCTCCTGGGAGACCCTGCCAGGCTCCGCCCTGTAAACAAACGTGTCCACAAGGTTCCCTCTGCTTGCTCCGGCGGCCTGCAAGGCGCCTCGTCTCTCTGATCCCTCAGTCTCCTCATCTGTGGAATGGGGAGCAAGAGCACCTACCAGGCCGCGTTGCCAGGAGGATTCTGTAGGCGGGCGATGCTTAGCGTGGCCCCGGGGCTCGTTCCGTAATATAAGGGTAGTCCCTGGCTTGGGGTCAAGGGGAGGAGGATTGTTTGTGGGACAGGCTTGTGCAGGGGCGGGCTCTGAACCCTAAAGGCTAAGGACATCTGATAGAGCACTTTCAAGCCCTGGGCGCCCTTTGTCACATCTGCATGCGTCCTTCCAGTCACCCCAGGAGTTACTAGTTCTTATCATTCCCATTTCACAGATGAGGAAACTGAGGCTCAGAGAGGTCACATGGCTTGCTCGAGGCCCCCCAGCCAGTAAGTGTGGACCCGACATTCGCACTGGCACCTGACATGCTGTCCTGACCATGGCCTTCTCAGAGCAGGACCGTGACGGGGCTGACCAGGGGGACCGTGGTCCTGGCTGAGGGCACTGCTCAGGCAAAGGTGGGAAAGTGGGGCGTGGGCCTGGGACCTGGAGTGCTCCGGGTGGCTGGAGCACGGGGCATGCGCAGGACAGGGTAGTGTGCCCGAGGTCTGCCCGGGAGCTGCGGCCAGACCCGGGAGCGCTCTGAGTGCTGGAGGTGGCGGGGCTGATGGGGACGCTCGGATTCTGCATTCCGGACTCCTGTGTGTGTTCCTAACGGTTTGAGTCCAAGGACAAGCCGCGCCCCCCTTCCGACGAGCCTCAGTTTCCCGGACTGCCCGGTGGGGACAGATGGGAGTCTGGGGTCTCCACGCCCGGAGGTGCAGGGACGGCCCAAGAGAACCCTGGCCTGGGGAGGGCGGAGGGGGCCGCCCCGGCGGTGGGCGGGGCCGGCCCGGCGGGGGGCGGGGCCGGCCCGGCGGGGGGCGGGGCCAGGCCTGGCCAATCCGGAGCGGGGTGAGTGTGTGGCGCTCTGGCCTGAGGTTTTTAGCTATTCCTGGGGTAGGGAGTAAACAGCAGCTCGGTCAGGGGGCGGGGATAGTGACAGGAATCGGGAGGCTCCCGGGAGGCTCCCAGCCGGGGATCCCCTGCGAGGATCCAGGCCCAGCCTTCCTTCCGCACCATCCCTTTCTGCTGTCGGAGGAGGTGGACTGACCCGAATGCTGACGGCCTGCTTACAGGTGGGGAAATGGAGGTGTAGCCGGGCTCGGCCCAGCCGTGGGGGCGAGGGTTCGGGGCAGGCAGGCCTGTGCACGGCTGTGATTGCAGCCGTCCCTCAGCTGAGACAACACTGTACCTCCGAGAATCATGGCTGTGCCCTTGACCCCAAGATCACACTGGCCAATGACTGAACTCATCGAGTCATAGTTCAGAGGTCAGTGAGGTGGCCCCTGGGGAGAGTCAGGGACGTCGGAAACTTTTGAACCGTCCCTGCTTGAAGTATGATGAGTGGGAACCAGGGCAAAATGGATGCAGCCCTGAGCCTTAAAGTTTGGGGGCATGTAGGAGAGCTGTTGGGTAGAGGTGAGACCTGTCATCCAGCCGCATCCAGGGGAGGGCCTCGGGCCATAACCCTTTCTGGTGGCTTACAGGTGTGACCCCACAGCCTTGCCCCCCGGGCCACCTGCAGGACGCTGGCCCCTACCCCTCAGCAGACGCCGGAGAGAGATGAGTGGAAACAAAGTAAGTCCCCCTCATTTCCTGCCCGCATCTGAGCTGCTGGCAACCTGCTGTGGAGTGGACTCTGAAACCCGCCCTGGCCAGGGCACCGCCACTCTAACCCACACAGGACGCCTGGGTGCAGACCCTGGCTTCAGCCACTGAGCCGTTGATCTGGGGGCCTCTTGCCTCTTTCTGGGCCCAATGTCCTATGTCCTAAGCTTGACTTACCTATGGGAAAGCACTGTGTGAAGGTGGATGCTGTGCATGCGGGGAAACCGGGTAGGGAGGTGAGCAGGGGCCTTGGGGGAATGGCCATGTTCAAAGTCACAGTACCTGAGTTCCCCATCATGTATTTGTTCATATTTCCTGAGGTCCTACTATGTGTTTGACACGCCCCCCCCCAACACCTTTCCCGGGGCTCCATGGCAGAACGTGAGATTTGAAAGTGGGGCGTGTGGTTGTAGCATTCTGAGTCCAGGGGAAAGATAACAGCCCTTTGACAGGAATGATTTAATACAGAGAATTATCAGTGGCAATGGGACATGGAGCAACAAACAGGGAATGGGACTCAATCCCAGCACCCAGGAAGCCAAGGCAGTGGATCTCTGGAGTGATCCCAGGCCAGCCTGGTCTAAATAGAGAGACCTGTCTCAAAAATAAAAAGAAATGTGGGAATCTCTGACTTGTCATGTTAGACTTAGAAAAAAAATTTTGTTTGTGACAGGGTCTTGTGTATCCCAGGCTGGCCTCACTGTGTAGTCTAAGGGACTTCTGATCCTCCTGCCTCCACTTCCGAGCACTGGGACTTCAGGCCTGTACCACCATGCCCAGTTTATGTAGTGCTGGGAATCAGAACCAGGGCTTCAGGCATACTAGCCTAGCACTCTGTCAACTGACCCGCACCCCCAGCTGCCAGACGTGGGCTTTCTGAATTTTGGTGATGCAAAAATGAGAAGTATTCAGTGGGACCTGCGCTTTGAAACTTGAAGTTTTGTTCCTTTGCTACCTGGTGATACTGGGTGGGGCTGAGACCCGCAGCTTCCAAAGAGCCCCTCTTGCTGAGAGGAGCCGGTTGACACACACTGCTGAGTGGAGTTGATCAGGATGCAACCTGATTGTTAAATCCAGGACCGGGTGTAAGCCCCAAGGGTTGAGGTGCAGGCCCAGCTGGAGACAGCCCAGCCGCAGCCCACTCACCGTCTACTACATGGCCCTGCGAAGGGGAAGCTGCTGGCTTCTGGGTGCTGCTGGTGGTTGAGTGTCCCGGAGGAGCTGAACTTTAAATAAATACTTGTGGTCCCAGTAAGAACCAAAGCGATTTAGGGGTACTGTCTTTATTCTTAACAGTGTCTCTCCAGCGCCCTCTACTGAGAAATCTTAAGATGCTTTGGCAAGAAAAAATACCTCAAAGAGCCCAGACCTTTTTTCACCAAGCAGGCAAGGAATGAGAAGTGACATGTTCCTTCATATATGTAAGGGATTGCTCCCGGGATCCCGAGGAGAGAGAAATCCAAGGGTGTGAGCTCAGGTTCTTCATATAGGATGGCTTAGTAATTGCATATAACCCACAAAACAGAGTTTATCATCTCTAGATAAGTTATAATGCCTAACCCAATGTGTGCAACCAAAACTGCTGGTGTCATGCTGCCTGATTGTCATCCCAGCACTTAGGAGGCGGACACAGGAGGATCAGTAGATCAAAGCCAGCCCTGATTACACAGTGAGGTGGAGGTGGCATGGGCCATGTAAGCCAATTTCTTTTCTTTCTTGTTTTTTTTTTCCCGAGACAGGGTTTCTCTGTGTAGTTTTGGAGCCTGTCCTGGAACTCGCTCTGTAGACCAGGCTAGCCTCGAACTCACAGAGATCCACCTGCCTATGCCTTCCGAGTGCTGGGATTAAAAGCATGCACCACCACCACCACCACCACCACCACCACCACCACCCAGCACGAGCCTATTTCTATACAAACAAACAAAAACCTCCCAAAATTAGGGACTGATAACAAGATAGGAAGCCTGCATGTGTTCAGTACTGGTACAGTCATTATAGGCTTGACTGTTGATTGTGGTCTGTTGAATCTACAAACCTCAAAGTGTGTGGGGCCAGCTATATAGACAGCGTATGGAGAGTTACTATCATTGGACCATCTGGATCTTGTATTTGGATATTCCCTCTCCCCACCTGTGTCTAGGCAGAGGACCTTGTCACCCACATCCAGTTCAGTCCAGAAACACTTTTTCCTGTTCTCTGTAGCCCAGGCTAGCATCAAGCATGCAGCAATCCTCAGGCCTCAGCCTCCAAAGCACTGGGAGTGTGCAACACCGTGTTGGGCTCTCTTCTTGAGCACCTTCCGCAGGCCTCACCCAGGGGCCTGGGCACCTTCCGCAGGCCTCACCCTGGGGAACAAGGCTGACCCAACCTTAGGGCTCAGAGCTCCAGGTCTAGTTTGGAGGGATAGCAGTTTGCAAGCGACGAGACTGGACTGGATAGTTCAGAGGCAGAGTAATTGTCTCACATACATGAGGCCCTAGGTTCAGTCCCTAGGGCTGGGGGGAGACTAAGAAGGAACGAGATAGGCGGATTGCCAGGAGAAGGAGGTGGTACCTGAACTCATCTGCTCTGGTATGAAGGGCATGGTGGGCTGCAGGCAGGGGGTACCGAGCCTGTTGTGTGTGTGTGTGTGTGCCTGAACCCTCCATGGCCTCTTCCCTCTCCAGGAGCAGCGGTCAGCAGTGTTTGTGGTCCTCTTGGCTCTCATCACCATCCTCATCCTCTACAGCTCCAACAGTGCCAACGAGGTCTTCCACTACGGCTCCCTGAGGGGCCGCACGCGTCGGCCTGTCAACCTCAAGAAGTGGAGTTTCTCCAACGCCTACTTCCCTATCCTCGGAAACAAGGTAGAGCAGCTTCTGTGGGGAGTTCCCTGGCTGCCGATATGTCCACCTTCCAACTCTTCTCTCTTCTGTGCCTCCGAGAGGAGAGGATGGATGAGGGTCATCAGTCAAGATCCCGGCCCTTTGCTTAGGGCGGGATCTTGAACAGGTGTTTGACAGTGGGCCTTAGTTCTCATTAAGGTCCCACCCTTAGTGTTAAAAAGTCTGTCTTGGGCCAGGCAGTGGTGGCGGCGCACGCCTTTAATCCCAGCACTCAGGAGGCAGAGGCAGGCGGATCTCTTTGAGTTCGAGGCCAGCCTGGTCTATAGAGTGAGATCCAGGAAAGGCACAAAGCTACACAGAGAAACTCTGTCTCGAAAAACCAAAGGAAAAAAAAAGTCTGTCTTGGCCCAGTGAAATGGCTCCGTAGGTAAAGGTGGTGTTTCTGCCAAGCCTGATGACCTGAGTTAGGTCGATCTCTGGAATCTACATAGTGGAAGGAAAAAAAAAACCCTCCAGCAAGCTGTCCTCTGACCTCCACACACAAGGGAGTGTGTTGTGGGATGCCACCCCCCCCATACACACACACAACACACATGTGCACACACAAATGTATTTTAATAATTAAAAACATACCTTCTGTTGCTCCTGAGTCAGACTTCCGGTTTTCATGGCTCTCTGGGGACACACCCCGACAAGCTTGGGCGGAGACCCCTGAGGTTCTGGAGAACACAAGAGCAGAAACAGTAATGGCCGGCTGCCCTTTCTCCAGTACCAGCTGCTCAGTGCTGTCATCTCCCTAGCAGACCTGAGGTGATCATGCAGCCACGCAGCATGGGAGGGCCAGAGATTTGCCCAGCCCCTGCTAAATTGCAGCTAGACAGAAAAGTCTAGCGACGGGGGCCTGGTGGCTAGGGTTCAGCACTCTCACCTCTACAGACTTGGTTTGTCAGCCAGTCATGTCATCCTGGGGACCTCTCTCTGCCTTAGGGTGTCTATGAAATTCATGTATTTAGACTGTCTTCCTTTGTTGAATTTTCTTCAGAGCCTTTGTGTATGGAGGCCCCTTGGCTGTGGACACACCCTCCCTGAAAAGGACCCATAGTAGGGGTTAAGAGGAATGGGAGAGTAGATGGGGAGAAAGAGGGACCTCGTGAGCGAGGGTGGTTTGAAGGGAAAGGGTCTGAGCGTGGCTTGTTGCTTCTCCCCGCCTGATGGCGAGAGAACTAGTGTTGGAGCTTGTTGGAGGCCATGGAAAATGACCTGGTGCTTTGGGAGAGAGCGTTCTTTTGGGGGAGCTGGGCCACACACGCTGGTCTCCATCTTCTGTTTCTCAGTGTGCCGCCTGTATATTTCTGTCTCAAGTCTTTGTACTTGCTTTTCCTCTGGCCTTGAACATTTTTGCCTAAGTGGTGTGACTCTAAAGACTGTTTTGTTGTTGTTGTTGTTTTGTTTTCAAGATAGGGTTTCTCTGTTAACAACCTGACTGTCCTAGAACTTGCTCTGTAGACCAGGATGGCCTCGAAGTCACAGAGACCTGCCTGCCTCTGCCTCCTGAGTGCTGGGATCAGAGGCGAGTGCCACCACCGCCCGGCTCTAAAGACTGTTCTAAAGAAGCCTCCACTTCTCTGTTTCCGATCACCTCTTTCCATGTTTTTTCCTAATGTGTATTATGCTGTCTGTCTCCCCAACTCTAAGCATTTTTTTTTTGGTTTTGGTTTTTTATTAGCATATATTAATTATATAATGGGTTTCTTATGACATCTTCATGCATGTGTATAATGTATTTTGATCATCTTTATTCTCCTTTATTTTCTCTTCTCCCCCTCTCAAACCCCTACCCAACCCCTACACCAGCATCCATAAACCGCCTAGAGAGAGTCTGGGAGGGGTGGGACCTCTGGAGCCTGTGCTGCTCCCTAGGATGGCAAACATCTTGAGGGACAGGAACTGGCTGTCCTTTGTTGCTGTGTCCCCAGATGGTTAGGAATATGTGCTTTGAAAGGTCGAGATGGTCCCCGGCTCCCGCAGGCCTGGCTGCCTAGCGCTGGGGACCCTGCACAGAGCAGCCCTGATAGTGTCCCCCTTCTTGCCCCACAGACGCTGCCCTCCCGGTGCAACCAGTGTGTGATCATCACCAGCTCCAGCCACCTGCTGGGCACCAAACTGGGCCCCGAGATTGAGCGGGCTGAGTGCACCATCCGCATGAACGATGCTCCCACCACGGGCTACTCGGCGGATGTCGGCAACAAAACCACCTTCCGCGTAGTGGCCCATTCCAGTGTGTTCCGTGTGCTGCGGAGGCCCCAGGAGTTTGTCAACCGGACCCCTGAAACGGTGTTTATCTTCTGGGGCCCCCCAAACAAGATGCAGAAGCCGCAGGGCAGCCTCCTGCGCGTCATCCAGCGGGCGGGCCTCGCCTTCCCGAACATGGAGGCCTACGCCGTCTCTCCCACCCGCATGCAGCAGTTTGACGACCTCTTCCGGGGTGAGACGGGCAAGGACAGGTACCAGCCAACCTCCCACCTGCCCGCTGCGGTCATCCCTGGCCTGATACTCCCAGCATGCACTATGTTGAGGGTGTAGTCACCTCTTGCCACCCTCCTCTGGTCAGGTCCCCCCAGCTCTCCTCAGCTGTTAGCGTGGGTCATCTTCAAAATGTTCACCTTGGCCTCACCCACCTGCCCACTCCAAACCCCCACCCCCCACCCCAGCTTCTTCCCAGCATCCTCCACTCCAAGGGAACAGGGGCTCCCAGAATGCTCTGCACTGGCATCTTTCTAGGTGGTACTCTCCACAGTGTGGCACCTAGAGTCTAGACTGTTAGCGGCATACCTCAGTGTAAGCACACAGGTGCGCCTAGCATGCTCTGTTCTAAGGAAATAGCTTTCCCATCATGCTCTTCTCTGACTAATCTCCCTAGAAACCTAGTCAGTCCCCTCCTGTATAAATACAATGTGGGCCACATTTAAAATATTATGGTAGTTATTGTCAAAAAAGCTAATGATAATGGCAGTGGATGCATTTAACTTCAATGTTATTTAAACCAATGGGTTCAACATACAGCTTCTATGTGTATGTTGGTAGATTTATACCCAATTATTGTTTTTCAAAGATTCATATGTCTGAGCCTTTGGCCTGCATGTGTCTGAGCACTACTTCATACCTAGTGCCCGAGGAGCTCCTAAAAGGGTGTTCTGTCTCCTGGAACTGAAGTTACAGACCGCTGTGAGATACCATGTGGGTGCTGGGAATTGATCCCAGGTCTTCTGGAAGAGCAGTCACTGCTCTTAACCACTGAACCATCTTTTCAGCCCCCTTTATACCTAGTTGTTTTTAAAGATTTGTGGCTATTGAAAGAGACTCCCACACGGTGGGGGGGGGGGTGTTTCCAGACCACGGATTAGGCACAAACCATGGATTAGGCACAAACCACACCCAAACACCTGTTTTCACAGAGAGATCCTTTATTAAGCTGGGAAGAAAAGTTAAAGTGGCTGCTTCCTGACTTAGGCAGAAAAACAGCAAATGATGTTGCAGGTGTCATTCTTAAAGGGAGAAGAAGGGGAGGTCTCTGTTAGGGTGGGCTAGGATGCAGTGGTAGAGGAGATGGGGATGAGGGAGAAGGGGAGGGGGGAAGGGAAAGGGGGAGGGTCATCTGTCCAGAGGGACAGAGGACGGTCTCTGGATAGAGAGGAGACAGACGTGGCATATGGGCAAATGGCGGTTTATAAAGGTAAAGAGGGAACCCCCGTGTTAGGATGAAGTGTTTAATTTTGATTGGGCAGGTTAATTAGGTGACCAAAGGGGGCTTCTGATTGCTGGACTTCAATACTTTGATAGCTGGACCTTGTTAGCCTCAGGAGGAGGAAGTGGCCCAATAAGGGAACAGGCCTTGGTGGCATCTTGAGGACTATAATCTGATGGTTTTTATCAAGGCAGAGGGAATGGGGAGAAGGGCAAGGCCTGCCAGGGCCACATGCTCGAGTGGGCCAGTGTCCCTTCAGCTGTTATAAGTGACAATTTTCAATTTTTATTTTAGGCTCCCAGTTTATTGTTAGTGTATTTTTTCTGTGTGTATGTATGCGTGTTCATGTGTGTGTGTAAGTGTGCATACGTATGTGTGCATATGCATATAGAGGTCTGAGGTTGAGGTCAGATGTTTTCCTGGCTCGCTCTCTACCTTATATACCAAGGCAGAGTCTCTCACTTGAACCCAGTACTCACTGATCTGGCTAGGGCATCCCTTGTGTCTCCTTCCTGGGCACTTGAATTACAAATGGGCCACCACGCCCATCTGGAATTTTGTGGATGCGTGGACGTCATGCCCCGATGTTTGCACAGCGCGTGCTTTACCCTCCAAGCCACCCCCCAACCCTGTTGCTAGTGTGTGTGTTTTTAAAAATGGTTAGTGTTTAATGTGTTGACTCTTTTTTTTTTTTTTTTTTTTTTTTTGTTTTTTCGAGACAGGGTTTCTCTGTGTAGCTTTGCGCCTTTCCTGGAACTCGCTTTGGAGACCAGGCTGGCCTCGAACTCACAGAGATCCGCCTGGCTCTGCCTCCCGAGTGCTGGGATTAGAGGCGTGTGCCACCACCGCCCGGCAATGTGTTGACTCTTAAACTCACCAGTTGAAGGAGATTTTTGTAGGTTCTTTGGGTCTTTCACCCATTAATAATCATGTTATGTGGAGATACTGGCTTGTTTTTTCTTCCTTCCCAATCTGTGCCTCTTTTTTCTCACCATGTCGCACTAGGATTTTCAACCCAGGCTGGTTTTGCTGTAGTTTTCTTTCTAGGTTGAGTTTGGGGTCACACATTGAAGTTCCCCTTCTGTTTTGTGGGTGAGGTTGTACAGAACAGATATCATTTGGTAGAGTTTGCTGTGAAACTGTCTGGGTCTGTAGAGCCCCTTTGTAGAAGATGTTTAGTCTTTGTAGTTTTTATTTCTGGGGTGGAACTCGGGGCCCAAAGCATGGTAAGCACACATTCTATTATGAAAGCTGCACCCCCGGCCCTGGAATTACTGGGTTCATTTTCTTTAATATTATAGAGTGTTCAGGCAGCCTCCTTCATCTTAGGGAGTTCGTGGGTTTTAAGGAGTTGGCCATTTCATGTCAGGTATCGGATTTATATCTGTAGTATCTGTGGGTTCCCTTAGCATCCGTGAGGAAGTGTGGTCATTTCTTTTATTCCTGTCTTGGGCAGCTTTGTGTCATCTTTCTTTGTCACACTTGTTACAGGCGTGCTTTTCTTTTAAATGTGCCAAAGAACCACTTCCCACCAAATACGTGGAAATAGTCTCACCTTCAGGTGTACTTAGGACTGGAGGGATGGTTCAGCGGTTAAGAGCACATGCACTCTTCCAGAGGACTGAGTTCGGTTCCCAGCACCCACACCAGGACAGACTGCTCACAGCCACCTGCAACCCCAGTTCCAGGTGATCTGATGCCTTCTGCTGGCCCCCATGAACACTGCCTTCATATGGTATATGCACACAGACATCTTTGAGGCCAGCCTGGTCTACATAGCAAGTTTAGGACAGCCAGGGCTACATAGAGAGAACTCTGTCTCAGGGAAAACAAACAAAACAAACACAAAACTATATATATAATATATATATATATATATAAAACATATATTAAATCAATATCAAAATACTATGAATGACATAGTCTACATTCTGCTTTTCATGCTACCCAAGGGCTCCAGTGCACATTTGACATACACCTCTCAGACACATATCAAGTGCTTACTAAGCCACACGTAGCTGGTGACATAGTACCTCTCAGGTACATATCAAGTGCTTACTAAGCCACACGTAGCTGGTGACATAGTACCTCTCAGGTACATATCAAGTGCTTACTAAGCCACACGTAGCTGGTGACATAGTACCTCTCAGGTACATATCAAGTGCTTACAAAGCCACATGTAGCTGGTGGCTGCTGTAGCCCCAGGGCGTGGGCTCTCCTTTATGCCTTGCTCTGTGGTCACCTCGGCATCATCTTCTCAGCATCATCTAGTATCCCCATAGGAGTTTGGTCCCAGAGGACACACAGCTGCTGCTAGCATGCTTTATGGTCGTCATGGTTAATCGCAGTGTGCACCGTTGAATTATTAGCCTCTTGAGTTCATGACCTGTTTGCATTGTGCCCTTTCCCCTCAGCAGCCTGAGTGCTCCCACAGTGGGTGGTACACAAGTCTGATGTAGAGGCAGAGCCTGGAGAGACAGTGGGTAGAGCTTCTGGGAGCCTCCGTGGGGGTGGACCATTTCTCCCTGCCTGCTCCCCATCCCTGCCTGCATGCCCCTTCACTGAGACTCCTCTCTGCCCCCAGGGAAAAGTCCCACTCCTGGTTGAGCACGGGCTGGTTTACCATGGTGATTGCGGTGGAGTTGTGTGACCATGTGCACGTGTATGGCATGGTCCCTCCTGACTACTGCAGGTGAGCTCCGGTACACCCCAGAACCATACCCGGTTACTGATTACAGGGTGGAGCTGGGAGGTCTGGGGACGCTGCTGAGGGTTCCTCTGAGGGCCTCTGTGGGATAAATTCATGCTGTTCTGCAGAGGTGGGTTTCTTGGAGCTGCCCCAGGGGCTTCCACTCCAAGCTGGGTTTTGAGCTTGTTTGTTGGTACTGACTATGAGAATTCCATGGAGTGCTAGTCATACGTTACTGAGTGCTGACCATGCACCAAGTGTCATTTCCTCACACAGTGCCAGGATACTGTCCTCCCCATTTTATGAGTGCAAATTGAGGAGGGTGTTTAGTGAGGGGAACCAAGGAAGGTCTCAGAAATTATAAGGGGTACCAGGCCTCCAAGCCCACAGTTCTTGATCACTGCTGCTCTGTTGGGGAAAGAAAAAAGTTCCATTTTTTTAAAAAAGAAGCTTGATGTTTCCACAAACTTAGTCTACCATATACCCACTTTATAGATGGGAAAACTGAGGCTTGAGGAAGGGATTGAGGATTTATTCCACTGAGACTCTAGAATAGGAGAGGGGTGGAAGTAGAAAAGACCCCTTACAGGTGGGGTCTTGCCCCCATGCCCCTGACTCCCCTGTCTGCTGTGCCCAGCCAGCGGCCCCGCCTGCAGCGCATGCCATACCACTACTATGAGCCCAAGGGGCCCGATGAGTGTGTCACGTACATCCAGAATGAGCACAGCCGTAAGGGCAATCACCACCGCTTCATCACCGAGAAGAGGGTCTTCTCATCCTGGGCCCAGCTCTACGGCATCACCTTCTCCCATCCCTCCTGGACCTAGTCATCCTGTCCTTACAACCTCGGAGAGATACAGGCAGAGTGGCTCTGGGCTCAACCATTTGACCATGGCCATCTTCCAGCCAGTTTGGGCTGGCTGGAGTATTTCCCAGTCAATCAAATCAGGGCCTTGATGAGGGTTTTTCCTCCAGCCAATCAGGGCTGGAGTTATCTATTGGCCAATCAGGGATTTGGAATTCTGTATGGTTTAATCGGGTGTCAGGGGGTCTTTCTTGTCTAGTCAGGGTCTGAGCATCGTCAATCAGGGTATAGGGGTCTTTCTGAGTCAGTCTGAGGCTTACGTCATGTCCTTTCCTGTAAGGCCTTGCATCAGAGCCCCGGGAATGGGCCCCAAATCATTCCCTCCTTAGCTGGGACAAAGGTCTGTCCCAAGGATTTGGCCCACAGTTCCAGAATCAGAGATACCGTATGGGGTAGGAGCTGCCAGGAGGCCAGGCCAGAGAGTTTGTGGAGTTCTGGAAATGGTAGGAGGCCTGTGTCCAGGTCCTGGCTTCTTCCCGAGTGACCTTGGACAAGCCCTCCTCTCTTTCTGGCATACTATGAGATCACATTCCTGTGTGCAGACAGACTCACTCTCCATTGTACTTAAGTGTAAATTCCCCCAGCTGTCATCCCTCACTGGGGACTCAGCTCCCTGGGGATGGGGAGCCGGGGTACTCTTCCCCACCTCCTGGAAACTTTAGGGTATTTTTGTGTAAATACCCCTGTGGTTGAAGAACTCGGGCAGATGTGGGACAAACACACAGCTGTTTTCTTAGCGGCTGTCAGTCCAGCTGCCATTAGCCTGGCTCCTGTCGGCCAGGCGTCTCTTCCTACCCTGCAGCAGGAGAGCGGTCCCTGCTGCCCGAGGAGCCTTTGGGATTGAGAAAGGGTACCCCGCCACACCAGGACAGCCTTTGTTTAGAGATGCTGAGGATTTGGGGGAGAAGTGTCTCCCTCCGAGTTTGGGATGGGAATAGAGACACAGGAGCTGGGTTACCTGGGTTCTGTCCCCTGCTCAAGCACTTTATTAAAGTTGGGGCTGGGTGGGGTGTGTTTAATTCCCCCTCTTCCACAGCCTTCGAGGGAAGGGCTTCCAAAAGGAGGCTGTGGATTGCGGGGTAGGGGCTGGCCAGCTGTGAGTCCTTGCACACTGGGGTAATGGGGGGCAGCGACAGTCCCAGATCTGGTTTTGTAATGATTTATACAGAAATAAACACACGTAAGCCCCAGCTCAGTGTTCTGTGTCGCGAGTCTGCATTTTTGCATGTGCCCTCCTCTCTCCCAGCTGGGAATATCCTAAGGACCGGCCTGTAGCCTTTGGGTTAGGAGCTTGCATGAAGTTGAAGCCTCAGAACAGCTGGAGAAGAAGGACTGTAGGGAGAGCAATGGTCTGGGACCGGAAGTCAGCACTGGGACCTGGGGCCTGAGGGCAGGAAAAAGGACCCTCCAGGTAGAGTGAGCTTGGCAGGTTGTAAACATGGCTGCCAGCCTCTTAGTGCGAGTGTTGTTTACTCCAGACGGGCAGGAGGTGAAGGGTCCCTGACTCCAGAGGAAATTACAGCCTGTTGGAGCAGATAAGATTCCCTTGGGAGCCAGGCCTGACAAAGGGTGACTGTGTGTGAGACAAGTACAGGGCTGCAGAGGGGCTGAGAAAGAACTGTCCTGGGCTCCGGGCCAGGCAAGGCGGTGGGCCGCCAGGGCGGGGAGGCAAGAGAGACACCTAGCATTTGTTCCTTGTCCCGTGTGGTCCATTAATCATCAGATGCCCGAAACCATATTAGGTGGCCTCCGTGAAACAGTGTCAGCCGGGACCTGTAACTCCAGCAACAGTAAAGAGTGTGGTAAGGCAGGAGTCAGGGCCAGATGGCCAGCAGCCAGGACTACCCACCCGACGGCGGCAAAGGCTTGGTGCTTGTCTGCCACCTTCAGTGGGGCAGCAGCAGGCCAGGCTAGGTGGCAGGGCCAGTAGCTAAGCAACCACTGTGATGCAGGCAGAGACAAGGGGACCAGAGAGGCAGAGACTTCTGACACTGTCATAATAGGGGTGTCTTGAGCCCTGTGGGCCTGAGACACAGCACACTCCAGCTCCATGTAAAGGCTTCTGCTGAAACGATCCTGTGAAGTGTGCCTGGGTAGAATTTCTCCCATAAAACTGGTGCCTCTGCTCTCCCACAGGTGGGTATGAAGAGAACATCAGATGCTGAATGTGGATCTGGTACTGGGAGGTCAGTTGAGCTGAGGGCTGGAGGTCGCAGGGCCCAGTCCCCCAGCCCCAGTTCTCACCTCAGGTGGAACCCATTGGAAACTTGCTGGTTTCTGAAGCCCACGTCCCCACAGCTCTGAAATCTTCCATGGATCCCCATTCACTCCCTGGCCGGGAGCAAACCTCCCTCATTTGGCGTTTGAGGTGTCCGCCTATGTCTATGTCTGCACTCTGGGGGGCGGGGTGGCCTGGGAAGCCATGCTGCCTGTCTCTCCCCTGCCAGAGGCCATAGCCTCCCTGCCTCGTGATTGCGGCTCACCTAAAGCATCTGCAGAGCCTTTCCCTTCTGTTCTCGGCTTCCTATCCAGATGTTTCCTGCGGATGTTGGTGGTTGTGCTCCGCCAGTCCACCTGGGGCGTGCCCACTCCCACCCCCTCTCAGTACTAACCCACACCGATCCAGCTGTGAGCCTCAGTATGGCTGGACCAGGGTCATCCACCCTCTCCCACTCTCACCCCTATGGGGTTTGTTTTCAAGCCCTGGAGTTCTTCCTGCAGTCAAAATATTTCATTTTATTTTTAATTATGTGTCTGTGTGTGGACATGTACATATTGAGTGCAGGTGGTCCAGGAAGCCAGAGTGACGAGCGGCAGCGAAAGGCTGTTGGGAGCCATGCACTTGAGTGATTGGAACTAAACCTGGGTCCCCTGGAACAGCCCCGGGCACTCTTAATTGCTGAGCCATCTCCCCAGCCCTCAAGATATGTTTTAGTATTTTCAACTGCTTTCACCTTTATTGTTTGGTTTAAGACAAGGTTTCTCTGTGTCGCCCTGGCTGTCCTGGAACTCGCTCTGTAGCCCAGGCTGGCCTCGAACTCACAGAGATCCACCTGCCTCTCCAGTGCTGGGATCGAAAGTGTGCACCACCACTGCCTGACATAGAATTTTCTAGGTATAAAATAACTTAACCTGGGGGCCAGAAAGATGGCTCAGTGGTTTTGAGTGCTTGTTGCTCTTCTAGAAGACCCAGGTTCAATTCCCAGCACCCGTATCAAGTGGCTACAACCACTTATAACTCTAGCTTCAGGGGATCTGGTGTCCTCCTCTGGCCTTTACAGGCACCTGCAAATGTGTGATATACACTCATACATACCCATAAAAATAAAATCCTAAAGCCAGCGTAGTGGCACATGCCTTTAACCCCAGCATTCAGGAGGGAGAGACAAGCCAATCTGAATTTGAGGTCAGCCTGGTCTACATAGTGAGTTCCAGGACAGGCAGGGATATATAGGCACACCTTGTCTCAGAAACAAACTAAAAACAAAAAACAAAAATAAAAGGAAAAAGCGGGCGTATGTAGGTATGAGGCTGCAGGAGAGATGGGTTGGTGGTTATGGGCACTTGTTCTTACCGAGGACCCAAGTTTGATTCCCAGAACCCACACTGTAGCTCACAGCTGGGGCCGGGGTACAGTAGGTCCTCTTGGAAGGGGACTGGGGTGTGAGTCCCAGCACCCACACGGCGCTTCGTAGCCATCTGTAATTCCAGTTTCAGAGGTTCCAGTTCCTCCTCCTGACCTCTGGGCACCAAGCTACATATATGTGTGCAGGCAAAGTGCTCACATATAAAATGAATCTAATTATACAAAAAAAGGTTTGTAATTAAAGCACAGAGCCAGAGAGATGACCCAGCTGGTAATGGTGTATGCTGCCGCCAAGCCTGAATTCAATCCCTGAAATTCACATGGTGAGAGGAGAGGACCGAATCGTGTAAGTTGTCCTCTGACCTCCACAAGTGTGCCTAGCACATGTGCGTCCACACGTTCATGTGGCCCCACATATACACTGAATGTAAGAGAAAAACAATTATAAAAAGGCTGTGGATATAGCCCAGTTGGGATAGAGCTTACTTCATATGCAGGGGCTCTGGCTCCATCCTTGGCACCACAGAAACTGGGCATGGCGGCTTTGTAATCCTGCCACCCAGGAGGCAGCAGAATCAGAAGAGCTATGTGAGATTAGGTTTCAAAGGAAAGGGGGGAGAGGGAGAGAGAGGAAAGGGGAGAGGAGGTGGGGGGGATGTATGGAGGAAAAATCTCCAATGAATGTTGTGCTTGCATGGATATCTGTGCACCATATGTGTGCTTGGTGCTGTGGGAAGTCAGAAGAGGGTGTCAGATCCCCTGGAAATGGAGTACAGTTGTGAGCCACCATGTGGGTGCTGGGAATTGAACTCAGGTCCTCTGGAAGAGCAGCCAGTGCTCTTAACCTCTGAGCCATCTCCCCAGCCCCCCACCTAAGTCTTTTAAGAGGGCCTTTCAGACCAGCACAGGACCTCTGGCTTACTGCATCTGCCCCCCAGCCTCCAACTGCAAAAGTTGCGTTGCTTGATGCCACAGGTGGCAGAGTTGGGGTTAGATCAGGCATCTTGGTACCCACGCTGCTGCTGTTGCTAAGGCAACGCCAAGCCTTCTATGGCTCCCTAGTATTTACAAGACAATTTCTGATTTCATCCCATCTTGCCATTTGGAGCCAGTGCCTGGTTTACCGGGCCAATGGTCAAATACATTAGTTCTGAACCTTGACGGTCCTGGGCTTTCTCTCAGATTTGCCCTGATGGGCTTTGAGTACCTATTACCCTATGCCAGTTGTCCTCAAGGGTGCTCCATAGGCACATGGCTTCCCAGCCCGGAGCCTCAGCTAGCCTCTGGGTACTGCTCTGTGCTTAGGGGTTCCCTGGGCACAGCTGAGGTCTGCTGCTGGCATGGTGCTCCACCCAGGTGCTCACAAAGGAGAGCTCTCGTGGTTTCCAACCCCTCGATCTGGATACACAGAGGTTTCTGAAAGTCCCTATCTCAAGTGTTCCAGCTTCATGGGGTCAGGGCTGGCTTCTCTACCTAACCACCAGATCTTTGGGACTTGGAGGAGCCCAAAGAGTCTTTTCCAACAAAGATGTCTCAGGGTAGGGGGTCTCTGGACTGTGGCCTTTGAACCCCCGAGGTCTATACCCTGGTTCCCCACCCCCTCCTTACTTCCCTGGTCCGGCCTCCTTACCACCAACACAGTGAGAGTTTACACACACAAATCATCTGTCCGAGCATCAGTTTCTCCAGGTGTAGACCCTTGTCCGTGGGGAGTCATGTGGACAGAGTGGGGGTGGCAGAACTGTGTGCAGGTTCAGTCCCTGGGGGTGCCTGTTGGGGACGCTCACTCTTCGCCAGGCTTCCCATCAGAGTCCCTGCTTCCTCCTCCCCCCTCCTCCTTCCCCCCTCTCCCTCCTCCCTTCTCTCTCCCTGCCATCTCGCCAGAGAGCTGGCTCCCGGCATGCCATGCGTGCGCGCACTGACAGCCTTTGCAGGCGGCTGAGAGGACGGACGGGCACGCACTGGCCCTAGTGCCCACCACACCCTCCCCCAGGTCAGTGTGGGACTGCTCCATTGTCCGCCTGTGTGGAAACCCGCGAAGGGGAATGGGGAGGCATCACCTATGTGTGTGGGTGTGCTCTGGTCAGGCTACCCTTGGGTTCTGTATGTCTTGTGTATTTGTTGTTTGTATCCATGGTTATGAACTGTGTATTTGCATGTGTGTTCTGTCAGCTCTGGGTGCATGTGCCTGTGGCTGTGTGTGTGTGTGTGTCTCCTCCCAGGCCCCTTTGTCCCAGGTTGGTGTTACTGGGGAATCAGGTCTGTGCCCTTGGCACATCCCTGAAGGGAAGGGGGACGGACAGTAGCCGATTTCCCTGCCCCAGAAGACCTGGGTAAGGGCAGCCTGTGTGCTCCAAGAGCTGTAATGTCACTTTGAGTGTTGGGAGGACCTGGGGCCTCTGGACGCTGGAGCCCTGCCAGGACCTCCTGCTGGATCAGGGGCTCTGAAGAAGGCGCCTGGGAGCCTGACTCACAACTCTGATCAGCTGCTTAGCCACGACACTTCAGCAGCGGGAAGACCGACCTGAGAGGGGACAGCGGCTGCCCAAGGTCATACAGCTGAGTGATGGAGCTGTGATTAGAGCCCTGATGGATTGCAGTCTGTGAGGCTTCTGTTAGCGTGCATCTCAGACAGCCAGGCCTTGAGATGGGAGATGCTTATCCCTTGGAGCCTCTGCCCCCTGAACCACCTGGAAGACCACTCAGTCATATTAGGAGTCGCTGGGGCCCTGGCCCAGGGAGCCTTATAAGGCCCGACTGCTTACTCTGTAACCTTAGTCTGTCTGGGACCCCTGGCTTCCTGGAAGCCTCCTCATGACCTAAGTTATTTTAGACCAAAGAAGTAGCAGGTGTCTGTGAGGCAGGGGGGCTTAGGTTACCAGGAGGGGGTGGGGTAGGTGGAGTGGAGTGACTTCCTAGGACATCCTGGTGGCTGTCCAGAGCCTGGGACACTCCTCCTCCCCTGGGCAGCTGCCGAGGGGCCAGGCAGCTGCGCGCCTCCTTCTGAACACTCGGCAGGCCTGGAGGCTGCAGCTCAGGCCGTGTATCCATGCAAAGTCGCTCAAGGTCCTTGTCTGGTTTGGGGCACCAGGCCTGAGCTTGACCCCAGCCAGAAGCTGGGGCTAGTCTGCCTTTCTCTCCAAGCCTATCCCCTCCCCAAGTGGCGGGCATGATGGAATGAGGGTCCTAGTCCAGGGCTCATCTCCTGCCAGGCCCAATCAGGGCCAGGAATAAGGCCCATGGTGCAAGAGAATAGTCTAGCACTTTATGCTGGGTGCCTTGCAACCAGAAGTTCGGAGAGAACACCTGTGGGATTGTTGCGGGGAGTCTAGGAAGGCATCCTGAAGGAGGCGAGGCTTGAGCTGAGGTCTCCAGTAGCATTGGAGAAAGACATCCCAAGAATTGGGTGTAGCGCTTCAAAGGCCTGTGGGCAGGTGGGTGGGTGAGTGGGGGCAACATTGCAGCAGATGAGAAGCAAGGGTCAGATTGCCTAGGCCCTGCCAGCGAGGTTGAGAGGTTCAAGTCTGGTTTAGGGAGCCAAGAGGACAATACATGGAAGGCTATGAGCAGAAGGGTCACATAATTGTTGCTTGCTAAGGAAATACATCTGTCCATTGCTTGGTGTGTGTGTGTGTGTGGGGGGGCTCCCGGGGGGAGGGCAGGCTATGGTCTAGGTTGGAGAAAGGCTGGAGAAAAGAATGTAGGGATAGCATGTGCAGGGCAGAGTTGGGATGGGTTGTGGGGAGCATGCATGCTGACGTAGGACTGACTATAGAGGTGGGAAGCGGGGGGGGGGGGGGGGGGGGGGCCTGAAGCCAGGGTGAGAGGAGAGAAGTGTGTACCAGGGCAGAAGGCTGACAAGAATGGTGTTGACAGTCTTGAGATGGTGGGACAGGTAGGGAGTGAGGAAATAGTTCTAAAGAGGCTGGAGAGTTTGGGAACTGTGGAGAAAGGATGGGTGAGCTGGGGACAGTGACGCAAGTCCTCCATGGGGTGAGTAGGAGGGCTTTGGGCGAGGTGGACTTGGCCCGCCTTCAGTTTAAAAACTGGAAAAGGGCTGGAGAGATGGCTCAGCAGCTAAGAGCACTTGCTGCTCTTCCAAAGGACCTGGGTTCTGTTTCTAACACCTACATGGTAGCTCGCAACCACCTGTAACTCTAGTTCCAAAGAATCCAGCACACCTTTGTGGCCTCTTCATGGACTGTGTGCACATGGTACACTTAGATACATGCAGGCAAACACTCATACACATGAAATTAAAAACAACAAAACAAACCACAAAGAGCCAGGTGTGATAAACATTCCTGCAGCTCCAGCGCCGGAGAGGCTGAGGCGAGAGGGTTGCTGTTAGTTTGATGCCAGCTACAGCGAATGACCCCTGTCTTGAACAGAACAAAACAAACTGTAAAGGGTTGTGCTCCAGGAGTGTCTCCGGGTCTTGTCCCCAGGCAAGAAAGCAGGACACCCCTGCCAGCATTCCCGTGCCCCGGGGAGCGTTGTCAAGGCACCTGGCCCATGTACTAGGGCCTCTTGGTAGACTCCATATTGCTGTTCATACCCCTCTGTGACCTCTACCCAGGGGCCTCCAACAGACCAAGGCGCACACACTCACTGGAGGGTGACAGGCAGTAAAAGCCAGCAGGAAGGTGACTTTTCCAAGGTCACTCTGCCTCCTGGACGTTCATCTCCCCTCTTGGCCTCTCGGTGCTTTGGAGATTGCGTGTTGGAACCTGGCACTTACCTGCCGCTCCTGTGGGTGGGGCTTAGTGGCAGGAGACTCCCTCACCCCTGCCTGTGTCTTACAGAGTGCGGATCTAGCTCCCAGACCTCAGCAGGATGGAAGGTATGAACTCCCCTCCTGGCTTCAGAATGCCTATGTATTAAGGGGTGGGCTCTCACAGGGATTGTCTAGAAGGGTTGGAGGAAGCCCCAGGGTTCCTCCTCTGGCCTGTCAAGATATTCCTGGCTTCTAAACCAAATATGCAAGGCCTCTCAGGCTTCTGGGGCCCCAGAGCTCACCTCTACTAGTATTTATAGCCAAGCCTGCCCTTTTTGGGGGAGGAGGATGCTAGGGATGGGGCTGTGCAGTGCATCCCAACGGTATCAGCTGCCAAGCTGGAGTGTGGGGGTGGGGCGGGCACATGTGGGACTCAGTGTCCCTGTCTCCTAGTGGGGTGGACCCTAAAGTCTTGAGTCTTCCTGGCTCCTGTGCTCTGGGATGTGGGCAGAGTGCCTGGAGTGGGTGGGCTCTGGCTTCTGGCAGCACCATTCCCTGGCACTGGGCCTCTGCCTGGGTGGTTCTAAAGCCGCTGGTCACCAGTCTGCCCCTTAGCTGCCTCTCTGAGCCTTAGCCACTTCCCCGACAGTTCCTCAAGCCTCTTGCCCCCAGCAGCCATCAATGCCACCTCCTCCTGGGCCAAGGACAGTGAAGCGGCTGCTTCTTGCTCAGGCCCCTGCCCAGCTCCATTTCCCTAAGGGGAGGAAACCCAGGAGAAAGACCCGGGTTCTAGTTTGGGTTCAGATGTCCCTTGGGTAAGCCCCTCCCTCTGTGGGCCTCAGTTTCCCTCTCCCCCTGGGTGGCGAAGTTCTTTTGCAAAGCATCAGGTATGGGACCCAGAGTGTCACTCCTGCTACTCTGCCGCCCAGCTGCACCCCAGGCCACCAGGGCTGTGGCTTCTACGGAGGCAGTCTGGGAATTCTGCTTACCTCCTTGTCTGAGTAAGAGTTCCATTTGCCCACAGGCCTCCTCCCTGGCAACCATCTCTATGGCAACATACGTTGTGGTTGTCAGCTCCACGTTAGTACTGCTGGGGCGGGCCAGCAACGGGAGGGCCGAGCCAGGGAGCCGAGGGAGGCGACAATATGAACAGGATCACAGGCTGCTGTTCGGCTGGTGAACCCCGAGAAGAAGACAGGAAGGCCAGAGGTGACCAACACCTGGGGTCCAGCCCCCCCAGGAGGTGCCACAGGGTTGCCATCCCAGTCTCTTAACCTCTTGAGTTCTTAGCTGAGTTTTTAGCCTTCAGGCTTTGTCTGGGTGGGTCCAGAACACCCTGTGCCCATCCCTGCTCACTCTGTGCAAGCCTGGGTTACAGAGGTGTCTGTGTGCTTGTCTAGCTAGTGACTGAGCCCTGCTTCCCTGTTCTCTCCACAGAGAAGCTGAAGAAAGCCAAGATCATCTTTGTAGTGGGTGAGTTGTAGGCAAGCACGTGGTGGGCAGGCAGGGAGGGTCTGAGCAGGCGCCTGGCCTGCAGGAGTCTGGGCCTGGGGCTCTTTTTTGGGGGAGACAGTCTTTCTACATAATCCTGGCTGTCCTGGAACTCACTCTGTAGACCAGGCTTCCCTCAAACTCAGATTTGCCTGCCTCTGCCCCTCAAGTGCTGGGATTAAAGGCCTGTGGGGCTCTTCTTTGAACTCTGATTTTCTCTCATTGAGGGACCCCTGTCCTTCCCGGGGCTTCATTTTCTGGGGTTTCTGAATGCATGGGTCCTTGCAGGCGGGCCTGGCTCAGGAAAGGGCACCCAGTGTGAGAAGATTGTGGAGAAATATGGCTTCACCCATCTCTCCACTGGGGACCTGCTGCGAGCAGAAGTCAGCTCGGGATCGGAGAGGGGCAAGATGCTGTCATCCATCATGGAGAAGGGGCAGCTGGTGCCACTGGTGAGGGGCTCTGGTGGGGACTGGGGTGGGGGATGGTGGAGGCTGAGCCTGAGGCCCTGGGGGTCAGCCAGCAAAGCCTGTGGTATACTGCCAAGGGTGACCCCCAGGGCCCTCTCGACCTCAGAAACCTGTTGTGGTTCCCCATGGCCCTCGGCCAAAAGTTGCTTCCAGAAATTCCTAAGACCCTGCCTCCCACTCTCCATCCCCTAGTGCCTTGGCTTTCTAGCTCAACCACACTCCTTTATGGCTGGAATGATCTTCCCTGTCAGCACTCAGGCCTCCCTGACTCCCCAGCCTTGAGCTCAGACCCCTTACTTTATACTGCAGTGGCCCCCTTCTCTTATTTTATTAGTTTATTGGGAGGAGTGTGCATGTTCCACAGCACCCGTATGGCAGTCAGAGGACAGCTCGAAGGAATCGGGTCTCTCCTTCCACCTTGTGGGTCCTGGGGATCAGACTCTGGCCATCAGGCTTGGTGGCAAATGTCCTTACCCACTGAGCCATCCTGCTGACCCACTGGTCCCCTTCTTTACCCCGCATGCTTTACCTCTCCATTCTATGTCATGCTTAGAATCATAAGCCAAATGTGTCCCCATCTGTCCCCTCCCGAAGACCCTGGGCTTGGTGAGGGTGGGAACAGGAAGACCTGCAGGAGCTGTATCCTCAGGCTCAGGACCTTTCCTGGCACCCTGGAGAGAGTGGCTTTCTGGGACTCACATGCTCCAGGAAAGAGGACAGCTTGGGTGGGCCCCGCCTAAGCCAAGGCCCCAGGGCGCGGGAGAGAAGGCTCAGGACCCCCCTGTGCTGTACAACAGGAGACGGTGCTGGACATGCTCAAGGATGCCATGATGGCCAAAGTGGATTCTTCCAAGGGCTTCTTGATTGACGGCTACCCCAGGGAAGTGAAGCAGGGGGAGGAGTTTGAACAGCGGGTAAGAGGCCCTTGATTGGTTGCTGCCCAGGGCCTGGGCTGCAGCTGAGAAGGAAGAAGGGATGGAGGCCGAGGCTACAGGGTGAGGGTGGGAAGGCATGAGGATTTGAGAGGCTTCGTCCTTGTGGGGCTTGCCATCCCATAAACGCACAGTCCAAGGGTCGGCCAGCAGCACTGGCCGTGTTGGAAAGGTAAAGCCGCTGTTGGGGGAACAGAAGACGGGGTCAGAGTGACCGGGCATGACATGGAAGAAGGGTGTTCGACACTGGCTGGAACCTTGCTGCCAGGGAGAGGGTCCATGTTCTTTTCCCAGCACAGAGAGCTGGGAAGTTCTGCTAGGGCGGGCCAGCAACGGGAGGGCCAAGCCGGGGAGCCGAGGGAGGCGACAATATGAACTGGATCACAGGCTGCTGTTCCTCTGGTGAACCCCCAGAAGAGGAGGACAGGAAGGCCAGAGGTGACCAACACCTGGGGTCCAGCCCCCCAGGAGGTGCCACAGGGTTGCCATCCCAGTCTCTTAACCTCCTGAGTTCTGTCTGGGGAGAGTTGGCATCAAGAATGACAGTCCTAAGTTTCCGAAAGCCTCTGTCCACCAGGAAAACAGATCTATAGAGTGACACCTCCCCAAACACACATGTGCACAGACAGACGTTTGTGCACGTGATCGACGTTTGTGCACGTGATCCACACCCACACACACAATAGGTAACGTAGGATGCATACACATGCATAAGGCTGGGTGCACTGCACACACATGCACATGTGTGCTCTGGATGTAGCACGCACTACAGGGGTACATGCATGTTAATTCACATGCTGACACATATTTGCATACATTTATACCATATAAAGCCACACAGGGGACTGTGGAGCTGTAGGTGCTGAGTGCCCGGGGGCGGGGTGACAAGGGTGCGGCGGAGAGACAACTGGGCATCCTGGTGGGCTGGGGAGAGAGCATCTCCAGCCTCACTCCTGCCCACCTCTGTGAGTCCCAGTCAGAGCAGGAGACTGTATGTCACAACCCCTAAGATTCTGAAAGACCTCAGGACGGTGCTTGCCTTGTCCTGAGCCTTAGCTTACCAATCTGTGAAATGGGAGTTGAGGCCACAGAGCCTGCAGCTACGCTGAAGCATGCTTTGTCTTTCCCCATTTCCCCAGCTGTGTGAGGTCACCTGCAACCCTCAGGGCCACCTCCAGCAAATGAAAGTGCCCGTCAGTCCTATCATAATAGCCCATCAGTGCTCTTTGGAGCTGCCAAGGCTTCACCCAGGGCTTGGTGGCGTCCTCTGGGCATCCAAGTAACCGAAGTTCTCAGATCTTGACACTAGGGGGTGCCAGAACTGTATTAAAGGAGGAGGGGTGGGCCTGAAGAGGCTGGTCTCGCGGGCTAAAATGCCCAGAGCTGCTTTGGGGTGGGCAGGGTCCAGGACCCACTCCTCAGCCTAGGTGCCCATTTCCAGACTGGGAAACTGAGGCTCCAGCCAGGGATGCACTGCCCAGAGATTTAGGTGTTACCATAGCCTCACTACCTCCTTCCAAAGTATGGATACAGTCTGCTGTGTTTGGTCCTGTGGACTCAGCAGATGTCGGCACCTGATGGCTGATGGTCGGGGGGTGGCAGCCTTGGTCTGACCTTTGCTATTCACAGTCTTCTGTAAGAGCAGAACCTGGTAAACTGTCCATGGTCAGCAGGTGGCATATCACTCCTACCTGAAGGTAGCTGATGCTTATCACCCTAAATCCTCAACTACCCAGGAGGCAGACACCAAACTCAGAGGGCCAGTAGCCGGCCCCAAGGTTACTTGGTTGGACGGAGGCAGGAGAGGAGCTGTGAGTGACAGTCTATGACAGCTGCTTGAGACCTCTGGGGGACTGACTCGGCTGGGCTCTGAAGGACAGAGCTCTGAGGCTGTGGAGAAGTCCCAACCCAGGCCAAGGCTATACGGAGAAGGGTGACTTTCCCTCCCTCTGTTCCAGGAAGACCCAGAGTCCTCCTTCCTGCACGAGCCCAGCCTAGCCTGTGCCAGGCTCCCCCCTCCGAGGAATGGTGTAGTCTAGAAAGGGAAGGGTAGCCATTGTCAGCTTGAGTGCAGGGCCCAGCCTGGGCAGGGGACACTGTGGAGAGGCACTGGTAGCTGAACTGAGGTCTGGGTCTGCCAGGCCTTATTCCTTACACCTCTCCAAGCCATCTTTGTGATGAGTGGCTTATACCAGTGACATCATTCAGATTTCCTTAACAGTCTCCACCCTGTTCCTCTCTGGTTCCTTTGTCAGTCAAGTCTTATCCAGGCCTCAGCTCCCATCTTGGCTGAGGGAAGGGGGCGGGGGCATGACACACAGTTGCTCTCAAGCTGGTAAGGATTTGGGGCTTTCTCTTGGAGGTTCTAGAAAGCTGTGGAAGAGGTTTGAACAGAGGAGTGACGGGGGTCACTGTTTTAGGAAGGCCCTCTGGCTGCCTTGGGGAAGGGCCTGACGTCCTGAATGGGTCTCGTGTAGGGCTGCAGAGGTGGAACCAGGAATGGTCCACTGACGCCATGTCCACCCTACAGATTGGACAGCCCACACTGCTGCTGTATGTGGATGCGGGCGCCGATACCATGACCCAACGACTCCTGAAGCGAGGGGAGACCAGTGGCCGTGTGGATGACAATGAGGAGACCATCAAGAAGAGGCTGGAGACCTATTACCAGGCCACAGAGCCTGTCATCTCCTTCTATGAGAAGCGCGGCATTGTGCGCAAGGTGGGGACCTTATGGTAGGACCTTAGGCCAGCCCTCTCCCTCTGCCTCAGTTTCTCCTTTTCCCCCTGTTCAGTGAGTAGCTATTGCAGTGGGGTTGTGAGGATTCGGCCATGGCATCCTGCTCTCATCGTCCATATCCCCACAGGTCAATGCCGAAGGTGAGGTGGACTCTGTCTTCTCCCAGGTCTGCACCTACCTGGACTCCCTGAAGTAACTGGAGCCCTTGGCCAGCTCCCAGCTTGCCCCACCCTTGCCCCCTGACCCCAGGCAGCCTGGCTCAAGCCCAGCGCCTCCACCCTGCCGGGCTGTGCACAGACACAGGAAGCCACTTTATCCTGTTCCATGGACATGCGAGCACTAAAGGAATTGCCAAGGACGTTTGGGCTCACTCCCTCTTCTTTGCTTCCTATTGAGGTGATTCATGCCACCACAGCTGAGGCTCCAGCACTGCCTGCCCGTCCTTGCCTGTGCCTCAGCCCAGCTGTCTGCTGGGATCCTAGGCCTTTCCTGAGCCAAGCTGTGTCAGGCCTAGGGGCCCCTGGGTTGACAGACAGACGGCTCCTGGGCTCTGAAACTCGGCCCCTTCCTCATAGCCTTGCTGAATGGCTTTGCCTCTAAACCTCCATCTCTCTGGAGTGAGTTTTATATTTTCTTGATTTTTTTTTTCTTTTTTTCTTTTTTTTTTTTTTTTAAAGATTTATTTATTTATTATGTATACAGTGTAATGTCTGCATGTATCCCTGCAGGCCAGAAGAGGGCCCCAGATCTATTACAGATGGCTGTGAGCCACCATGTGGTTGCTGGGAATTGAACTCAGGACCTCTGGAAGAACAGCCAGTGCTCTTAACTGCTGAGCCATCTCTCCAGCCCCCGATTTTTTTTTTTTTTTTTTTTTCTTTAGACAGCATCTCGTGCGTCTCAAGCTGGCCTCACACTGCTATGTAACTGAGGGCAACCTTGATCCTCCTGCCTCCACTTGTCCCGCCGGAGTGCTGAGATTTCAGCTGTGTTCTGCTACCACTCCTGGGTTATGGGGTGCCGGGGATCAGTCTCATGGACTTGTGTACACCATGCCAGCACTACAGATGGAGCTACGTCCCCAGTTGAGCAGGTTTTCTGTGCCTGACTGGGGCCTCGGCTGCAGTGGGCAAAGGGCATGGGCACACCAGCTGGGGCCGTGTGGCTGCCAGGTGGCAGCTGTGTGGCGGCCATACAGCTAGGTGGGAAGTTGAGATGCACAGGGGTGGCCTTCCTGGGGAGGAGACTCAGAGCCCCCCCTGGTATGGCCCTGCCAGGTCTCACCACCCTTTGAGCTGTTTCCATTTCTAAAACTGGTTCTGTTATGTGTCCCAACCCTTAGCCTCAGTGTTAGGACAAGAACATACTGATCGAGGAGTGTGAGCTGTCATAGACATGGATGTGAGCTTGAGCGCCAGACCTGGAACCTGGAGAGGACACCCAGGGATCCCCAGAACAGCTGGCACCTCTTCTCACATAGGAAGGCTCTGTTGGTGCTCACTTGTCCTTGACCCCTGACCCCATCACTAGTGACTTCCCCTCTAGGCCCAGATAGCCTGTAGCCAGCTGCCACAAGTGCCCCAGGGACACCTGCCCCTGGGGGTGACGGTGCTGGGTCCCTCTGTTTCCTGCCAGTGGGGCCACCTTTCCTTTTGCATCGTCTATTTAAAATAAAGGTATTTCAGTTATAAAAGTGAGTGGATTGAAGAACTTCAAACAGATGAACGTTAGGAGGAAGAGGGCAGCCATCACCAGGCACAGGCTTCTGTCAGGCCAGGGTTTGGGGGTGAGGTCTCTACACCTGCTCCTCTGTCCTCCATGTTGACTTTAGGAAAGTGGAAGGGTCACATCACTCTGTAACAACTCACCCCAATGCCATGCGCGCGCGCGCGCGCACACACACACACACACACACACACACACACACGCTATGCCATACATATAATTGTGCAGACACTCTTACAGGGACTCCCACTCACATCCCTGCTGAATGAACATGGTTGTCTTAAGGTCAGCATAGGAGTGAACAGAAAATGCATGGGAGAGGAGAAAGTTGGAGGAAAAGGTCTGAAAACCCCCCACTGTCTTTATGTGTTAATTATAGCTCAATTAATTCATATGGGTCCCAGTTTATGAAAACCTGGCTGATCAAACCAGAAAGCTCTACACCACAATGGTCACTTTGTCCATTAGAACCTGAGGGGACCTAGTTCCAGGACCCTTGAACATTCCCAGAACTCAGCATACCTAAGTCCCTCATGTAAAATGCCGCAGGAGCTAGACATGAGGCACCGGCCTGTGCTCCTACATGGTGGGGTGTGGGGTGTGGGGCATTTACCCACCAACCCCACAGCTCCCCAGAGTTTTCTTGTGTGAGCAGCAGGAAATATTAGATAGGATTTATATTGCGGAGAATATTGCGGAGATAAACAGAAAATAAAGGATAGCCTCGAGAGGGCCTGGAACCTTTTCCAACGGGCCCTGTCTCTGCCTCAGGGTTTTTATAGAGACGCCAAGCGGTGGAGCAAAAGACCTCCTCCCCCAGCACAGCCAAGTGCAGACCATCTCAGACACCTGCACTCAGGCCCGTGGTCCTAATCATCCTCTCTATGCGGACCTGCTGGGTAAAGCCACGAGGAACCCGAAAACGGGCTCCCACAGGTCCCCCTTTCTTAATATATAAAAAATAACTATTAATGGCTTACATCAATCTCCGTAGCTGTTACACCTCCCAGTATGGGAGTAGAGGATGATATAGATGGCATTTCTCTTTTGAATTAGGTCCAAGGTGACTACAGCAGTCTTTCTGTAGTCAGCCCTTTCTAAACCAAAAACTTACTGCAAGTGCAAACTTAAAGAATCCCTTAGCTTCATCATTACCATTAACAGGTTAACATAAATATTGCTATACATAGTCACAATTCTCCCAATCTTACAACTCAAAGCAAACTTAACGGAACCATTTGAATTAGCATATATGGTGCTATATTAGTCAACAGTTTTCTCAGTCTTATAATTTTAACTCTTAATCATTTGAATTTTCTTGCTAACAGAACATAGGAAAAACTTCGATGTATTCACATCAAACTTAAATATTTCCTTAACTCCACAAAACCAGGGTGCATTAATACCAATAGGTTAAACATAATTTCTGCAAACATAATTCAACCTTAATTCACTCATAACTCCTCCTTTTCTTTATAATTTTTTATTTTATTTTATTTTTTTGGTTTTTTCGAGACAGGGTTTCTCTGTGTAGCTTTGCGCCTTTTCCTGGAACTCACTTGGTAGCCCAGGCTGGCCTCGAACTCACAGAGATCCTCCTGGCTCTGCCTCCCGAGTGCTGGGATTAAAGGCGTGCGCCACCACCGCACAGCTTGTAATTTTTTAAACAAAATCTCAAACCTAGTTAGAAAAAACCCAAACTTATACAATTCCTACAAACCCATATTGAAAAGCAATATTCTCAATCTAACCATTAATACTTTGAAAACTTTTAGCAAAACATCCAAAAGCAGTTTTGTTTTTGTTTTTGTTTTTGTTTTTTGTTTTTTGTTTTTCGAGACAGGGTTTCTCCGTGTAGCTTTGCGCCTTTCCTGGAACTCACTTGGTAGCCCAGGCTGGCCTCGAACTCACAGAGATCCACCTGGCTCTGCCTCCGAGTGCTGGGATTAAAGGCGTGCGCCACCACCGCCCAGCTTCAAAAGCAGTTTCTTAATAAAACTCTTTACACTTTAAAAGTAGTCTCTTAGTATACCCTATTTGCATTTCTTACTAACAAAACATGACATTAATCCACTCAAACAATTTTTTAAATTAGACTAAGGAATATTAACTCTTCCTTTTCTTTATAATTTTTTAAGCAAAATCTCAAGCCTAGTTAGAAAACCCAAACTTTTCCATTTAAACAGTTCCATTTGTAACACAAAACCAGTTCTGTACGTAATTCCATTTTTACATTAGCAGTTGCACAAAACAATTGCATTTTTAACACAATACATGAATCACCAGCATATATGCATACACAAAACTGCATCTTGAGTCAAGGTAGAAACAATAAATTTCTTCATTTAAACAGTTCCATTTTTAACCCAATTCCAGAAAACAGTTCCTAGGTCAATACTATAAGTAAACTCAATTGTCCAATTGCAATGAAATCTCTATTGTTCATTTCATTTCTTAAGTCCCAAAATTCAAATGATAAATTCTGGTACTAGCCTTCCAAATATGAAGAAATCCATAACCAAAGTCGTTTTGTAGTTTTATCTCATTTTAAGTTCAAAAAGTTCAAACAAGCCGGGCGGTGGTGGCGCATGCCTTTAATCCCAGCACTCGGAGGCAGAGCCAGGCAGATCTCTGTGAGTTCGAGGCCAGCCTGGACTACCAAGTGAGTTCCAGGAAAAGGCGCAAAGCTACACACAGAAACCCTGTCTCGAAAAAAACCCCCCAAAAAAAAGTTCAAACAAGAAATAAATTCTGGTATCAGGCTTTCACTTCCAAATATGAGGAGACATTTTACAAACCAAAACTTCTTGCAGTTAACAACTTTTGTTCTCACAGACAGAGACCTTTTTAGGTACAGTAGTATTCTAAACCGCACCGTTTTTGATGTTAGCTCAGGTTTTTCTATGTTGCGTTGATTTTCCATGGATCTCAGCTGTGGATGCCTTGTTCTGGCGTCCGCCATTCTTAGCTTCTCAGCGGCTTCTGGAGCTTTTGAAACCATTCAGACTGCCTACTTTGCAGTCTACTAGGACCCTACCTTCTGTGTCTCAGGTTCTTTCACCATATACATTAAGCATAGATTCACACTCAATATTTACACTTTCACAAACTCACATATAACATGTGCTTAAGCATAAACTCACACTCAACATTTACACATTTTTACTAACTCACATATAACATTAACATCTACTTATTTATTCTCTTTAAGGAAACTATAGAACTACTTTAGCAAATATATTTCTTATTACTTCTTATATACTTATATTATTCCATTTTATTTCTTATTTAAACTTACATTTCCAACTAGCATCTTACAAGCTTATTACTACATGTCTTAAGACTACCTTAAATACTTCTTGCAAGCTTATATTCTTTTTTTTTTTTTTTGGTTTTTCGAGACAGGGTTTCTCTGTGTAGCTTTGCGCCTTTCCTGGATCTCGCTCTGTAGACCAGGCTGGCCTCGAACTCACAGAGATCCACCTGCCTCTGCCTCCCGAGTGCTGGGATTAAAGGCGCAAGCTTATATTCTTAAAGGAACTCTATAGATCTATTTTACAAACTTATATAGTGCTATCATTAGCATATATATAATTTAGCAAACACCCAAAGATTTCTTAACACAGATCTAAC